CCCTTGGCTTTGGAGCTGGCTCCTGCCACGGCACTCAGCCCCAGCCGGGAGCCAGCCCCGCTGCTCCATCCTCTCCCGGGCTCTTTCCTCCATCTCATTTGTGCTGCTGCTCCCTGTCCCAGGCAGCTGCCGCCCGGGCAGGGGCAGCCCACGGCCCCCCAGCACACCCCAAGCTTTGGCAGCTTGTCTCCCTGCCCCAGGGACTGTCTCCACGGCAGAAGCCCCCTCCTTGCCCCGCTCCCCACCGGTGTCCCCGGGAGCATCTCTCCGGGAGGGAGCGGGCACGGGCAGGCTGCTCCGCTCCGGGGCCGGTACAGTTTTATTGTACAGGTGCTAACAGGACTGAGGACGGGACAATCGGGGGATTTCCGGCTCTCCCCGCTCCCCAGCGGGAGCCTTGGGTGGGGTTTTTTTGTTGGTTCGTTTTTTTCTTTGTGTTGTGTTTCTCCCCAGCCAGGGCAGGCGTGTCCCCCCCTTGGACCCTCACTGCCAGCCTCCCCCTGGGGGCCCGGCAGCACCTTCTTTAAGCCGAGGGTTTTTTGCCTTTGGGTGTGTATTCTGGTTGCTCTTTCTGATTTCTGTTTTATTATATGCAGCAACAGGCTGTGGTGTCAAAAACACTGATGTACAGAAAAAACCTGCATCAGGCCCAATGTCTCCTGCCCTTTCTTCTGTGTCCTGTGTCTGGGCAGGTTTCCATGTGTGTCAACTCGAGCCTGTGGCTCAGGGAAGGGAGAGGGTTGGCTGTGGGGGCTGTGGGATCTGCAGGGCCCATGTCTCTGCACAGGGTTGAGCCAGAAAAACTTGGGGGCACTCTGCTGCCCGACCCTGCTGATGGGAGCTCTGCAGCCAAGCCTGGCCATGGCCAGATGCCACCACTGATGGCTGGGTAGCCCTGTCTGCCCTCAGCATCCCCCCAGCCCCATCCGTGAGGCAGCCAGTCCCTGTCTGGCTTCATTCACCCCTTCGGGAGCAGAGGGAGCTCATGGGGCTCCTCTGGGTATTGTTATTCTTTTTCCTTGTAAAGGGTGGCAGGAATGCCCTGATGAGGGTAAGCTTTGGAAGGAAAGCTTTGGAGGAAAGCTTTGCTCAGGCACTACCAAGGACTGACTCCCCAAGGGGAAACAGTGCTGCTCCCACTGCTCTCAGCACTGGAGCCGTCAAGGAGGGTCCCAAAAACAGAGGGGAGAGAGGCTCGTGCAGGTGCTACTACCCCCACCATGCTGGGGAGGTTCCTCCTGAGGCCGAAGAGGTGCAGGGGGGAGCAGCAGCAGGGAAAACTCACCAAATTTATGATCTGAAATGTTCTCTCAGAGGCAGGTGGGTGGAAGGGAGGGACCTGAAGGGATTCAGCCAGCACCGAGCCCAGGGATCTGAACCAGAGGAGCTGGAGCACCAGAAGGCAGGGAGAGGCCAAGGGCACGGCTCTGCTTGGCTGAAGGAGCGCAGGGGCTCTCCCTCTCTGCCTGCCGGCGCGGGCCTTCCCTGCACCCGCCTTTCTCCCGATGGACCAGGCACTGGCGAGCACGATGGGAAAGGCGAAACCTTTTATTAACAGTCGCCGTGGCCAGTCACAGACTCGTCTCGATGAGCCACGGCCACGAGTACGGTGGCGGCTCGG